AATAGGGAGGTGTGAGTACTGTCAAACTCTTACCGGCTAAAACCTGCTCCTACTGGGTCAAAGTATTCCTCTGATGTGATCAGAGACTTTTATGAAACGAACGTTTGGGTCTTGATGCTCGTTTTGAGGTTTTTCGCAAGACCCAGTTGATACCTGGCTGGAGGTTAGGTTAGGTTAGGTTTTTTTTATATACAGCAGGAGGGGAAATCCTCATGGAGACTCACACCTCCCCATGAATAGGGAGGTGTGGATACTGCCGGACTCTTATCGGCTAAAACCCCTCTTGCTGTGCCGAAGTGCTCCTCTGACATGATCAGAGACCTGAATCAACATATTGTTATTGCCCTTATAATGGAAACCTTTTTTGTGTAAATATATAAATAAATTAAATATTTATAGATATTTAATATATATGTAATATAGGGGTATAGACGTAAATATATACATAGTTTGGCACTACTGTCATATATTATTGCAATATAAATACTAAGCGCCACAAATTTCTGCCCTTCACTTGGTACATTTCTTGAGGGTTTGTGCTTTCCGTCATCGTCGTGCCGTTCTCACGCAAACGCTCCACCATGTGCAACATGACTATTAGAGACGTTTGCGTGGCCTTCCAGGACTTTCGACGAGATGGTCTAAGCTGACTACACCTGTGTTCGACAAGTGAAGGACATCGTCTTCGTTTCCATTCGTTTGGTCTCTGACCACGTGTTTTGTGCGGGCGTTCGTCAGCGGCGACAAGGCAATCACACAGCACCAGCCGCGAGTCGCGGTATACCCAGTGGTGTCAGTTCCCGATATGTCCACTATTTTATGTTCAAACCACCATAGCAAGGTAATTGGTCCCTTTTTAAATTTGTACATCTTCTGATGAATCTGGACATAATTTAAGAATTCCAGCTTCAGGCCGTAGTGGTTCGAGCCATAATCCCAGTTTACTGGTGCATCGCTGGTGCCGCCGATGGCCGCATCCTCGCCGTCGCTGAACCCCCGCGAATTCGCGCTGCTCTCCCCATGTGCGAGACCAGCTATCAGTGCGTCGGTGCCTATTTTGTTGTCTGCCTGTGGGACGCCCGATGCCACCTTAGCAATAGCTAACAGCCGCCCTGGCCAGGGCGTCCCATTTCCTACGGACCGGACAGTCCTGGGCGAATATGGAGTGGCCTGTGTCGCTTTGCCCTTCTCTTTTACAATTTTTGCAGGAAGGTCCCACACCTTCGGCAGACCTAGGGCAATTCGCCTGGAGGTGGGGACCCCCGCAATAGTTATACAGGTCCACTTCCTCTGTGCAATTTTTCCGCCCATGCTCGTAGGCCAGACACCGACTGCACTGGACCAGCGGAGACTGGTCAAACACTTTCACGTGCTGCAGGTCGATGTATAATCTGCCAGCCGAGGTCAGCCTCTCCCACAGCCGTGGCGAGACCTGGAGGACTACGTGGTTTTCGAGAGAGTTCTGCGCCTTCCTCCGGTACTTTATTGTCACGGCCGACTCCTCGGCCGATAGACCCTCCAGCAGGCGCGCGTTCTGCGTCTTAAGAGCGGCCTTTATGTCCTCGTCGGTGTTGTAGGCCAGAAGGTCCCGGACAATTAAGAGCGGATACCGCTGACGCGCGTTTTCCACACGCAACTGCCCGTCAGTGCTGAGCTGCGCCGTCATCCTTTCCAGTTCTTCCTTGCTGGCGCAGCTCAGCACCACCCTCTGGTCCTTGACTTTTCGGACATTTTCCACCTGAAGGCCGCTCACCTTCGCATTCAGTGCCCGTTGGACCTGACCCACAACATCGCCGCTGGTCTCCGTTGCGTCGCCGGAGGACACAACGACAGAGTGCTTCGGTCTTGCAACCCGCCCTGCACTCTTCGGTTTCGGTTCGACAGGACCTCCGCATAGGAGGGCGCTTCTGCCCTCATCTCGGAGACCTGTCTTCCGATCTCCCGAGTTGCAGACTTGAGCTCTTGCATATCTGCAAGAAGCTCTACGCCCTTGCCGCTGTGGCCTTCGGCGACAGAAGTAGCATCCATACTCTGCCGATCAATGAGAGCTGCCCTCAAATCCCCCATTTGCACGGTGGCCGCTTCAAGAAGCTTACTGTGCTCCGCTATATTCAAAATGAGGTCGTCCTCCTTTCTGCCCATTTTTTCCGGAACAGGGGCCGTCGTCATTGAGTCCGGAACCGCAACCCCTCCGACCCCAGGGAGCCTCTGGTGTTCGGACTCCTTCACCAGCTGGTAGAGGCGCTCAATAGCTAGTATCGCCTGGGTCTTGATTTCCGTCTTCAGGTTTCTCGCAAGACCCAGTTGACACTTTGCCTGTTTTAGCCAGTGTCGCGCCTCCACCGTCCGGTTCTCGAATCTAGGAGCTGGCTGAGGGGATTTCGGAGAGGGTGCGAGCCCAGGGGACCCATTTTCCAGCGGTTTGTTCATGTCGTGCCGGACACAATTTGCTAGGGCCGCACTGCGCTGCTTCTTTGGCTGCTTCTCAATGTCGGAAAACAGCCTCCGAACCGCATTAGGAGGGGCCGGCGACTCAGGAGTGGTATCGCACATAGTGGTGGGGGGGGAGAGCAAAGTAAGTGGAGCACCTGGCTCTCAAGTATATGTACTGAATCCCTGTAAAGTGGGGATTCAACGTCTTAAATTAAAACTAATTTTCCCTGTATAGAGGGGTTGTCAATAGGACTAAATGATAAATAAATAGTTAAAATAATACCCTGTAAAGGGGGGTCAAATAAATAATAGGTAAAATTTGTCAAAATTAATAATAATTATCAATTTTAAAATTTGTCAGTTTGAAGCTAAAATTGGACTTTCAAATAGAATCTATGTCTAAAGTACACGTCAGACGTGGCGGAAACCAAGAAAAAATTGGTAAGTTAGGTGTCGTCCGTCCGAAACGACAATAAAAATTTTTCGGGTCCGGAAGAGGTTTCCCTGTCTTTTCCCTATATATCTAGTATAAGGACGGTTGGGAGGGCAAAACTTGAAAATTTTTGTTATCCGATCGGGGCGTGCGATACGTCGGGAGAAGCGTCTCGGCGCGGGCCGTCCAACAGAGTGAAAATCCCGGGTCGGTTTCCTGAAAGAATTTAAAGTTTTGAATTAAAAACCAATTTTTTTTTTTTTTTTTTTTTTTTTTTTTTTTTCACCAAATTTTGGTCAATTGCGAGGATTTTTTTTCGCGAAACGTCTGGAATTATTGAGTCAAAACCCTATCCAAATCGTAGATTATAAGTTCCTAAAAAGTTAATAAAAATTTTGTCGCCCTAGGTCAAATATGAAAAAAGTAAAAAATTTTCCAATGAAATATTTTGGTCCAAAGTAACTTTAGGGGAGGAAATTGATTCGGGGGTTGAGCCCTCGACTGTAAAAAGTACCGAAATGTTAGGTTAGGTTAGGTTAGGTTAGGTTAGGT